GAGGATCTCCTTCTGTACTTCTATTATTAGTGTTGTTGCTGTTGTTATTGATAGAAAAATGCAATTCACAGGTAGAAATAGGGGATGAATCTTCCAGAGGGGAAGAAACAGTATGAAACGAAGAAGAGCAGAAAGGAGGAAAGCAGAAGGGAAGATCAGAGGAGTGGATGGATTTCGAGGTAGGGAATAATTTGGAGATCAGACTGGAAGGGCAATGTAGCCACTAGCAAAAAATCTTAAATGTCAGTTTGAGAAACTAGACAATGGGGAGCCATTGCACGTCTTAGAGAAAGGAGCTCATGAAAGAGACCATGGTTAAACAACATTTGACTGATAATAGCCAGCTCCTCCCAAGGAAGACTTTTTGGATAATTGTGGGAAACTATATTTCCAGCATAAAAAGAGACCCTGGCACCATCCTGGGAGAGTCTTGCCCCTGGTTCAGAGTGAGAGCTGGATGGGTCTTTCTAACTGGCTAATGACCCTCAGCTCCTGAAGATGCTGCCTAACATGGTATCTAAGGAAGTGCCCACCCCTCGCCTGGCACAAGCCCAGAGCTGGGAAGTACCAGTGACAGGGAGGCCAAAGAGGGAGCCCAACCCCGTCCAGACAGTCCTAGAGATGTCAAAATCCCAGAATAGCCAAATTGTCCACCAGCAGGTGAGGCCAACATGCCTCAGCTGCAACCTCATGCCATGCCCTGCCCCAGCATTCTGGCCTACAAACTGTATGACTGACACTCTTCATCGACTTCTGTCACTCACTCACAGTCCCTCTTGGGACCCGTACTAACCTTGGAAGAATGCAGGGATGGGAATTTTAGGAAATGTAGTTTCAGCTTAGCTAAGTGACATGACACAAATCCACAATGCGCTACCTCTTGTTGATTGGGCATCCCTATATGCTTTTTCAACTGTAACTTCCAAATAAAGACAATAGCAAAATCATCTTTCTGCCCAACAGGGTGCAGTTATTCCTTACATAATCAGAAACAGCATGGCCTTGAGGACAGTCCTTTCCTCCATCATTAAATGATATTCATTTCTATTCTAGTGTGATTCTAATCATCACAATCACCTTTTGATAACCTCTAATTGAAGCTCTGAGATATAAGATTAACTACATTGACTCACATTATGCAAACAGTTGGCCCACCCTGGGGGTTATGACTATCATGCTACAGCCATCCACTTGCAGGGAGTGCCAGCATATGTATGTAAAACAAGTCCAGATCCTCTTCCCCAGTCAATTGGTGACAGGGAATTTGCCCATGAAGTCAAACATACAGATTAAGGAGGAGGAGGAAGCAGCATGTCAGGTGTAGCACCCATGGCATCTGGGGCCCTTGTTCACACAAATGACTCACACCTTCAGGACCTGTTCCAGCTCAATCTCATATCCATTTGGTGGTGGAATTGCTGCTGTGCATGTCCAACTTTATGCAATTCAGGTCTCATCATAACTTGATCACCCAAGGTCAAAGTCTCTGCCTAAGGCCCATCACCAAGCAGATGTTCCTGAAAAGGGGATTAGTTCTCTGTAGTTGACTGTATAGTTTACCCTCAAATCCCAAGGGTCTGCCTGTGCCTTAGCCAGGGACTGTCAAGGTTCCCACATAGTGTCTCTAGCTGCACACATTTTAAGCACCATTGGATCTTCCAGGTCACATGGCCTAAGTGGCAGAGAAGCTTGTGTGCCATCTGTTGGAGGGCCTGGACCCCCACTCACCTGGCAGCCATTCAGGTCATAGGTTGAAACAATACAACCAGATGAGCCACAAGTCTCCAAAATGCAAAGAGCACACAGGGTGTTCATTATGTGTATCTATCTCTGAAGGGAAAGGTAAGATGCTGGTTCTTGTCCTTCCTCTTGAAAGAAGGATCTCAACAACCCCTAGACTCCAGGAATCCTAGAAATGCTGTGGAGGCAGCAGGCCCCTGCATTTTGAGAGAGTATATATCCCTCTAAACACATGAGCAGAGGTTTACCATTGACTCTGAAGTAGCTGTTTCTTCCTGATTACCAGGTGCATCCAGCATGATGTCACCAGTGAACCAGACCAGTGTGATGTCCTGTGTGTGGAGAGATGATTGAGGTCCCTGTGGGGTGGATCACGATCAGGTCAGAGAGCTGATATCTCTGGGCAATAGGAAAGTAGAGGAAGATCATGGGCCCCAGAAGCTGAAAGCAAGGACTTCTTTTGATGGTTTGACTAACACCTATAGAAAACAAGTCGTTCTGTGGGTGAACAGTCACAAAGTAGGGAGCAGGGGAATGTGTTGATGTGCTTAACAGCAAAACCACTTCTGGAACAGCCACTGTGATTGGAAGCTTCCTTCCTTCCTTCCTTCCTTCCCTCCTTCCAGTTAATTAAGACAAGCTGGCTTGCAATACTTGGTGCTCCTGCTTCAGTCTCCCAAGCGCTGGAATTACAGGCCTAAGGCTCATCTTAGCTTACAGCGTTCCTTCACTGTCTTCCTCTAACAGCTTCCATCATCTTCCCAGGCAGGTGAGGAAGCCTTCCGGTTCCTTAGGTGAATCTTAAGTGAGAACTGAAAGCCTTGAGCTCATTGTTTTCTTCTTCCAAGTTCTCCAACCCCATATTACTTTTTATTTCCACTGAAATGCTTTATGGCATCTACTCCCCAGAGCCAGTGGAGGCAAACCCCTTGTGTAGGGGTGTGTATAGGTGATGGTGTGAGTAACTGTTTGATCCCTGCGGGCCACGTATGGTCATTGTCCCCACTAACAGCCAGTCATTAATGCCTTTAATAGATAAGACAGTCAAGCCCAGCTCACTCTGAAGCAAGTCAGGGAGCCTGACCTTTAGGTTCTGTCCCTTGGGAACCATGTTCAGTACCAAATTCTGTGTCACCAGGGGACTCAGGCAGGAGCAGGAGCCCTGTCTCTGGTGATACACCAATGTAAGGTTTGAAGTTGGGCAAAAAAAGGAGGGAGCTGGCTTAACACATGTGAAGCTCTTTCTCTACAGCCCTAAATTAATAGGGCAGACAATTGGGAAGGGAAGTCGGATGTGACGGGTACTGAACAAGGACAAATGGGAACCTGTGAAGATGGGTGGTTCCCAGAGGATGGGCTGAACCACGTGGGTTTCCACACCTTCAGGCTCCAGCTTGGCTGTTCTGCACTTGGTGAAGAAGCTGGCTCCCTCATCTGTGGAACAAGTACACACCTGGCCCAACACTTGGAAAAGTCAAAGGAACAGACCCAGCAGGCTCTCCCAGGCAAGGCAAGCCAGCTTGTGACAGCATGTCCCAGCTGCAAACAGATCTGCCTCCCTCTGACCTTCCAAGTGCAAGAAAATACAGCTGTACTTCCCTTCTGCCTTCCAAATCTTGTACACAGCACCTCCCTGGCCCTAATAGCCCAGAACTTTGCAGAGAAAGGAATTCTGGGAAATGGAACTTAAGCTAAAGTTATACTATCGGAACTCACTGCACCAATCCTGAACAGAAAAAAATGTGTTTTCCCTCTGTGTCTGTCACAAGACCTGGCCCAGGTTCCCAGCTTCCCCATGTGATGCCATCTGTCCCATGCCCCAGGAACACAGCTTTAGAATCAGGCAGCCTGCTGCTTCCTTCCCACCTGTTTTCCTTATTACCTATGTGGCCTCAGGCAAAGCACTTTAGCTCCCTGAGCTTCCCTCAGCTCCTACTTCGGGGATGAGAACTCCCACCTCAGAGGGTAGCTGGTAACATCTAGGTAGTAATCTAGGTAGTATAAGGCACAGAGGAGGAACAGGACACCCGCTACCACATCAGCTTGCCTTAGCTCTGTCCTCCCTGCTCTGTCTCCCCCAGTAGACTTCCTGTTTGACTCCTTTTCAGTTTGGGGACAGCTGTGAGCACCCTGTCCCCCCACGGATACACATGCTTGCACAGATCATGTTACATATGCTGCAGGGTTGCATTTGAATCTGAAGCCCAGTTCAGACACAAGCAAAGGACCTGTTGTAACAAGGCAGGCTGTCCACAGAGTGTGTGTTTATGTTCTCTGCCTGCTTTTATACACAGGTCTGTCTAGGGAAGCACAAGCAGGCTGCTCCACACCATCCAGTGTCTCTCTTAAGAGGAACTGTGCAACTGTGGGAGAGATGGTTTCTCTGATGTGCTCCTGCTGGCCAGGGATAGGTGACTCAAACAGTTCAGGGTTGTTTCCGCAGTACTGTTCACAGCAGTGAGGATGGGTCCTCTGGGGTTTCCTCCAGGGAGGATGAAGCCTACAGCCCCATACAGACTGACAGCCCAGAGACGGCCTCTGGGATCCAAACAGGTAGTTAGGACAGAGAAGAAGTGGAGCTGGCTCTTGGCTGGAATCCAGAGAGAATGCCCAAGGTGTGTGAGTTCCTGAACTTCCATTTTCTTCTTTCATGAGATGGACTTGAATACAGTGTGGGATAGTGGGCAGATCCCAAGGTTTAGTATGGCCAGGACCTGAGGTCTAATCTGACTTCTCCTGTTGATGTGCTGTGTGACTTTGGGAAAGTCTCCTAATTTCTCTGGTCCCCAATTACCTACTAGATAAATAAAGGTTCTCCATGGTCCTTCCAACTCAACCATGGCTATGTGTTTGTATTAGCCAGACTGATGTTGTTTTCATAACCTCACAGCATCCCCTCTGGTCTGAGCTGCCTGGATACGGGCTGAGTGGGGATCCCTGGTGACCCAGCAGGTCCACAGCCCCCTCCTGCAGAACTTGTCAGAAATACCCCACCCTGCCGGTCAGTGGCCCCTGATGGGAGAAGGGAGAAGCTTCCCCTGGAGCCTCTTCTTGTCACCCAGAATGTTGCAATTAGAGAAAACTGGCACTCAAAACTAGATCTGGGAAATGGCTTTGATTTTTAAAAATTTCATGAGCAAATTGGGCATTTGAGCTCCATTCTGTATTGCATTGCTAAATATAGCACTGAGTCTATACCAAAACACTAGTATATTCAGGGTAATCTCATAATTAAATTTTATTTAGAAAATGTTCAACACTGAAAGTTTGTGAGTATAGATCCCATTTATCATGGGGTTATTTTTGGGTATGTCAGTGGACAGAAGCCAACTATCCTTTCTTGGAAAGGATTCTCTTTTGTTTTGGAATATGACCTTTCTGCCTGTAGTCTTGGTATCAGAACGCCCTTTCTTTTGTAAATTGATAGATGAGTTGGGCATTTAAGTGTCCTTACTTGGTAAAAATAAACCCCATAGTTGCTAGTTTAAAAAAAAATTCTGGTGTAATGAAATCCCAGAGCCTTGGCATCCCCTGAATCCACATCAAAATGGGTGTTAAGAGCCTCAATTCACCTTGCAAGGAACATGACAATTGCTTTTTCAAAGAGATTGAAAATCAGAGAAGTTAAGTAATGGACCCAAGGCCATGTCTCTGGAGAAGCCATCTGGGATTTGATGCTGCCCAGAAGCCCAAGTTGGCAGAACATGGGCTGCCAGTTATCTTCCCCACATCTTCTGGAGGAAGAGTGAGACCCAGCGCTTGGATTGGAGGAGCCCAGGTTAAAGGAAATGAGCCCAAGAGAAGGCCTGAAGCCCATTCCAAAAATCCTCCCTCTGTTACTCATTTTCCCTCTGTCTCTGAGTGAATGCAACTAACTTTGGGCTTAGGGTTTGATGGCAGAGAAAGAGCCCCAGGCAAACCTCCACAGCAGAGAAAATAGCTGTGTGGTTTTTATTAGCCTTGAGAATGAATTATATTTAATATCTATGTAGCAGATTTATGGAGTCAATTTGCTTCTACTTGAGTGAAAATTCCCTGGAGGGGATGGTGATAATCTCACCACAGAAGTTTAAAACGAAATGCAGCCCTGGCTCCTCCTGAGGGGCTGACCAAACAAGTGGAGGCCCAGAGTCCCTGGGACCTTGCCAAGTCATTGAGCAGAGTTACTCTCTCAGGATCCTCTAGAAGGTGAAGTGTGGCCATGGGGCTCCTCCCACCCCAATGGAACTCAGAGAAAGAATGAGGTCTGAGCATCTTGCAGAAGGCAACCCCTGTGCTGTAGAAGAGGATGACACCAGTCGCCAAGGTGGCATGATGTCTGTGGCTGCTCACTGAGGGCGACTAACTGCAGAAGACGTTGGGAAAATACTGGTAATTAGGATTGTAGCTCCACAGGTTTCTCTTCAGGCAGTAGACAAGCTTCTGGTCACAGGAGCAGAGCTGCATTGGGCAAAAAGACTGGAATTCTGTAAAAAGGACACCAAATGCAGAAGGGGGATGAGAAGGATGTCCTCTATCCACCTTGACTTGCTCAAACTCAAGTCTGAGGACAGACAGAAAGCCTGTGCAGACTCCCTGTCTAGTTCCCTTTCTAGGAAGCTCCTAGTATGATGAAAGAGGCACAGCTCCTAAACTAAGGGGATTCATGATCTGATAGAGGAGCCACAGCAGTGGCTGCTGTGCAAGGTGAGGTTTTAGTCCACAAAGTCCCAGATCCTGTCCTCAGGGAGCTTCCCAGTCTGATGGAGGAAACATACCCCCTCCCCTGGATGCTCCCAGCTTGAGGATGGAAACGGCCTCAGCTTAGGAGGAACCAATTCTCATAGAGGAGATGCCATCCCCAGGCTTAGTTTGGAACTCAGAAGACCTGAGCTTGAATCCTGCTGTTCACTGGGAGCCTTTGAGCTTTGTTTTCCCCATGAATGAAATGGGGGGAGACTAAATGTGCTCCATAGGTTATTTGGGGGGAGCAAGCAAAAGGAAGTCTGAAAAACACTTGCACCCAGTAAGTGCTCAGTCTAAGATACGCCAGCCAGTCCCCAGAGGTCTGATATGGCTGTGACAATCCTGGCCCTTTTGTCCTCAAATCTGTCCCCCAAGATACAGGCAGCTGATCTCAGAGGCAGGCCTAAACAGGAAGACCATGCTTACCGCAGGTAACCAGGCCCTGTGTGACTCTGTAATTGTAGTACTGTGATCGGGTATCGCAGCCTTTCCTCTCCAGCTGCCCATAGCAGCGGTCATGCATCCAACAGCACCTGGCAACACAAGGGGACTTGGGTCCTGAGTGGGAGGGGCACTTTCTCGACCCCTTGTCTCTGTGAAAGATAATAAGATGAAATTGTCCTTGTCGAGCCTAAACAAAAGTAGAGCTAGGAAGTAACCAGTGTGTGTGGGGGGAGGGGCTACCTCCCTGAGATAAGCACTTTCTCAAGGACTATTTAAAGCCCCCCTAGGAATTACTGTTGTCCTGCATGCACCTCACACTTTGCACAGCTTGCCTGTATCCACAGATTACAGGAACGAAGTTATCTTTAACATTCCTTAAGACTGCGACAATTCAGACAAGATATTCTCCACGGAGTACTTGCCCAGCAACAGCACCTCCACCAATGAGGTTGTGCCAACTCCTTCCTCACATCTCCAGGACCAATGAGCTTTGTCTCTAAGCAGTTTATATATGTAAATATTTCCCATGGGCTGTTAAACTTCCCCTTGCTTCCACCTCCTCGAATATGCCCATAGTCTACTAAGGCACTTTCATTTTCATTGCAATGTTCTGCTGCCTCCAAATTAATATCATTATATTTTGGACTCTCTCTTTCTCTCTCTCTCTCTCTCTCTCTCTCTCTCTCCTCTTGATTGCTATATAGATTGACATTTTGAACAGGTGTAAAAATTCGCCCATGCCCCTTTAGCAGAGGCCACCTTAGTGGGTGTGAGTGAGCAGAGACAAGATGGGTTCTGATAATATGGCTGAGTACTGTACTCTATTCTACTAGGGTTGCCACTGACCAACTAGTTCCTCATGAGATAGACTACATTTCCCAGACTCTCTTGCAGGTAGGTGTGATCACGTGACTAGGCTGTGGCCAGGGCACTCTGGGCAGAAGCCATGTACACTGCTTCCAGACCTACCATAAAACCTTCCCATCTATCTTCCACTTCCTCCCTTTCTTCATTTTAGGGTGTGGCAAACTGGCTGTTCAGGCAAACATGATCTGTCAATCACAGCCAGGACATATAGCAGAACAGCTTCTAAGCCCTGCACCTGATACCAACAGGAGAATGCAGTTTTCAATTCTTCTGGCACAAGATTAAACAAATTTTTGACAGGATGGCTTAGATATGACATCAGAATGGAGGCATAAAAGATGGCAGCCATTGGCCTTTGAGGAAACTGTCTTCTTTCTTTTGCAATGACCCACTCTGCATGCAGGGCATATTTTGTTTTTCCACACTCACTCTGCAGAGCACTTTTTTTCAGAGTACTTCTTTTCTCTTTTCTCCCCACTTTTACCTTGAATAAATGTAAAACCTCTATATTCTTTCCTTGTCTTGTCCAGTTCTTTGAACAGGACAACACAAGCCTGGAAGGGACCCTTGGGAACCCCAGCACCTGTTAACAGTATGATACATTTGTTACAATTGATGAACCAATATTGATCTCTTAACTAAATAATAATACATCATTGTTTCATTGACCCTAAAATGTCCATACTTACTTTTCCTTAGTTTTTATTTAATGTCCTTTCCCTTCCAAGGATCTTATACTGAATATCACATTTAGTTGTCGTGTCTTCTCAGGTCCCTCTTCACTTGTTTTTGATAACATTGTTTGGAGGAATGTTGGTCAGGAGTTTTGTAAAATGCCTAGTTACTGGGATTTGCCTGATGTTTTTTTCTTTCATGGTAAGACAGGAGTGATGAGTTTTTTATTTTGTTGCTCAAATGGTTCCAGCTTTGACTATTGAGAATGCTTCCAGTTAGTTAGCACCTGTGACATACCTTTATCAATGTGGGATTTTGTTTTCTTCTGAGCAATTCCTTACTTTTTGGCCCTATGAGAGGTCCCAGGCTCATCTTGGACTAGTCCTATAGTAAGCCACATCTGCAAGGAGCCTTGGTTCCTTTGATTGAAGAAAAGCATAAGAAACCAGATCTAGGCACTAGGTGTGCTATTTGCTACAGGGGTGTCATTTCTTTTAGCTTCTTTCAGCTGCCAGGGCAAAATATGTATGTTTATATTAACCTGGGTATACATACATATTTCTCTATTTCTATATGTTACCATCTATATCTATACTACGCTAAAGGGGAGTTCATACTGATGTCTTCAACACTAATCCATTGGGTCATTCAAGAGTGCCCTTGTTTGTCTGTAAATCCCACTCCAGAAGCAAGAAACCTGGCTCCAATCACCTGCCGTCCATTTGTCTGATTATGCCACTTGCCTTCAATTATGTACATCCAGCAGTATCAGAACTATTAACTCAGTAGGATGTTTTCCAAGGTAAAGTATCTCCCACTTCTCATGTCCTTCTAGAACTGTTGACACTTCCCAATTAAGACGTGGAATCTAGGTTTCCCCCTCTCCTTCTGTTTTTAATTGACACATAATAACAGTACATGCTTATGAAAGACTATGTGTTACTTTGATACATGTATATTATACAATGATCATATTAGGGTAATTAGCATTTTTATCACTTCAAGCACTCATCCTTTCTTTGTTGTGAGACCATTAAACTTCATCTCTCCTAACTTTTTTGAAATATTTATTACATTATTAACTATGGTCACCTTATATGTAATAGAATCTCAGAATTTACCCTCCCTTCCTAATTGTATTTTTATACCCACTGATTAACCTAGGTCTCCTTCTTAAAACCTCCATATCTGCTTCAACCAAGAGGATAGTGTAAACAACACTGGAATTTCTGAGGTTAATGATAAAAATGCTTTTCTCTCTTATCTTATAGTTTGGAAACATACGATTTTAGAACCCAACAGTTGCCATACTGTAAGGAAGTCTAAATATCCTTGAGAGTCTGCAATGAAAGGAACTGAGGCTCCCAGCTCACAGCCTTGGCTGGACTCCCAGCCAGGATACAGGAACAACAACTCACCTGCCATAGACATGAGCCTTGTAGGAAGTGGATCATCCAGCCCCAGTCAAGATCCCAAGAGGAAACTGAGTGAAACAGAGATAAACTATCCCACCACACCACACCCGGAGGGCAAATTCATAACCAAAACAAATAATTGTGATTGTTTTAAAGCACTGTATCAGTACCATTTTTCATGATGCAATAAAATCAAGTGACTCATTAGCCATGGAGATCTTGGGTTGTTTGGAGATTACTTGGCATATATTAGCAAGCCAGTTAACTTTTCTGAGACACAGTTTTCTCAAATATAAAATGGTGTTTTAATACTTCTAGAACAAACATGGAATTGGATGAGATGATGTGAGTGCAGAACCTGGACCATAAGAGGGCAATTATGACAATCAGCTCACCAATCAGTGCCATCCTTGGGGGTCCCTTGGCCACCCCAGCCACAGTAACAGCCATAGAAACCATAGTGCATCAGGGCATTCTTCCCAGTCACCTTCTCGATCATGGACTTCAGTTCTAGCAAGCTCCCTGGCACGGCAGGCACACCTGCAAGACAGCCCGTGTCCCTAGGTGACCCTGGGTACCCTGCTGCAGGCCCACCTTTCAGGATCTCCTGCCCTTTTACCTTACCCTCTTTCATTCTCCCAATTACTGGGAGGGGAGCAAGAAGATGAGGGCAAGCAGTATAGAGAAGTGATTAAGAGTTTAGACTTGGAAAAGGAGCAGACCGGGGTTCAAATCCTGGCCCTGTCACTAATCTGAAGTATGGTGAACAGCCACTTAATCTCTCAGAGCCTCAGCTTCTTCATCTGGGAAAAGGAATCCAAAGTTAGCACCTACTTTTTAGAGTTATTGTGAGGGTTAAAGTAAGACAGTATGTAAATTCTGAGCACAGTGACCCATCATAAGTGACAGAAATATTCGGTGTAATCCACAGGGAAGCAGGCAGCCAGACAGGAGCTTCCTGTTCTTCCCAGCAATACCCCTTTCTCCTCTTGCCTAAGACCTTTTAGAATATAAGTTACAAAGTCTTACTAGAATATATAAAGAACTGAAAAAAATCAGACCCCCCCAATTCAAAGACCCAATTCAAAAATGGGCATCTGAAATGAACAGACATTTCTCACACAAAGAAATAAAAGCAGCACATAAACATATGAAAAAATGTTCAACATCACTGGTCATTCGAGAGATTCATATGAAAACAACACTGAGATTCCACCTCACCCCCGAAAGAATGGCTGCTATCAAGAAATCAACCAATAACAAATGCTGGCAGGGGTGTGGGAAGAAAGGAACCCTTCTCCATTGTTGGTGGGAGGGCAGACTGGTGCAACCACTGTGGAAATCAGTATGGAGATACCCCAAAGATCCCAGTTGACCCAGCTATTCCCCTGCTGGGTATCTTCCCCAGAGAATTAAAAGAATCATACCACAGCGATATATGTGCACCCATGTTTATAGCAGCACAGTTTGTAATAGCTAATACTTGGGAATAGCCCAAGTGCCCATCAACTGAAAAATGTGTAAAGAAGATGTGGTTTTTTTTATAAAATGGAGCACTACTCAGCCATAAAGAATGAGAAACTGGAGACATAGCTAAATGGATGCATATTGAGGCCATACTTTTAAGTGAAATAAATAGGACACACGTGTAAATACCAAATAGCTTCTCTAGTGTGAGAAACTGAAAGTGTAAATAAGGATTAAAACGAATAATTGATAATTTGAAATAGGAAGAAAAGGTCCAAAGGGGTAGGGGAAGGGGAAAGGAAAGAAGGGAAAGGAAAAATTATGAGAAAAGAAAAAAAATGGAAACAAAGTCTATGTAAATAGGGAAGCAGGGGGAAGGGCACACAGATAATGGGGAAAAAAAATAAGAACCAAGATACATCATGTTGGGGCTGGGGATTTAGCTCAGTGGTGCCGCCAGCTGCCTCGCAAGCGTAAGGTCCTGAGTTCGATCTCCAGTACGAAAAAAAAAAAAAAGATACATCATGTACAGGTACAAGCACCCAATGATAAATGTAAACGTATTGTATACCTAAAATGTTCCAGAAGAGTTTTTTTTTTTTGGTACCAGGGATCAATCTCAGGTCCTTGCGCTTGAGCAGCAGGTTGCGAAACCACTGAGCTAAATCCCTGGCCCCCTAAAATGTTCCAATAAAAGAATTTAAGTATAAGTTACAGAGCCTTAGATCAGAATGGGAACCTTAGTAATCACTGACATCATTTCACCCAGTTTACAAATTGGGAAACTGAGGCTCCTTCTGAGGCTGGAGGGTTCTCAGTGGGCCCGAGGTGCTCTCCCTGCACTGTCTCTGGTTCCTCCTGGAGACTCCAGAGATCTGGCAAGACATCAAAGGCATGACAGCCTGTGGGGAGAGGGGCTGTGTGCAGGGTTACAGGGTTGCGGCAGGGGAACGAAAACCAGGGGATGGTCACATACCAGCTGGGAAGTGGCCAATGGTTGGGTAAGTAGAAGACCTGGACAGGCCTGAGCAGAGTAATTTAGGAATCAGGGGCGATTATTTCCATACAGATCTTGTGGTCTATTTTGAGATCACTGTTTTGTTTTTGGCCTTCTTTTGTTTTTCATTGCAAGAAAAAATCCACTCCCCAGATTTTCAAGCTGTATATCTTCATGTTCACAACTGACATGCGGCATCTGGACCTGCCACAGCCCTTCCTGTCCACAGTATCACCCTGTGTCTGATGAGGAATCCAAGGGTCAGGGAGACGAAAGCTCCTGTTAATGTCTACGTCTACATGGTAAGTGCAGGGCTGAGACTCAAATGCCAGTCTCTATGACCTCAAAGGCTGGTCTTCTTTCCACTACCCTATCCCTCCCACGGGATGGAAGGTCATTCAGGGGTCATGAGGCCAGCACTTACTGTAAGCCAGGAACCAAGCCAGTGTGAGGAGGCCTTTCATCTCTGGGGTTCTGGAAAAGAAAACACATCCATGCCATGTCTTTCAGCTGTCGCCCCCAAGGCCCACTCAGGCCCACCCAGCTCCACACCTGGCCCCTCTAATCTTCTGCTCCCCCATGTTGGGCAAGAATGAAGACGGAAGAGGCAAAAGCCATCAGGAGTTGGTCCAGTGGGGGGCTCTGGAGGGAGAGCGGCATTAGTGGAAGCATTCATGAAATGCTGTCCCCACCAGAGGTGGCAGCGAACTTGCCCATCACGAGCGCTTCCAGCCACAAATGCCCGAAACACATGCCCTCTGCAGAAGATGTCTAAATGACCCAGAGAAACAAATGGGTGGGGCTCTTCAATGGAGATTTAGTGGTACAAATTGAAGGGCAGGAACTGACATAACCTAGATGAGCTGTTGATGAGAGATGGAAGAAGGTGCAGGGAGAGAAGAGGCCGGACGCCGCTGAGGGAGGAAGGGTGGTAGGGAGCTGGAGTTTGCATCAGTGTCCACTGATCGTGTGGTGCTGCAGCTGCCTGTTTTCAAGGCTGTTTCTCAGGCAAGTCCTCTGAAGGCAGAAGCTGGTCACTCGGTGCTAGAACTGAGGGCAATGCCCACCCAGAATGGGTGATCTGGGAATGGACCCAATTATCCACCATGTGCTAGGACCTTTCAAGGCCTCTTATGGCTTTGTGGGCCCCTCCCTGCCTCTGTCTCTCTCTCTGTCTCTCATATACACATGCAAATGTATATATATATGTGTGTGTGTGTGTGTGTGTGTTTTATATATGTGTGTGTATGTCAAAATATATCTATATTTGACAGTTGTGTTGGTAGAAAAAACAAATATAAATCAAGCAGTGCTCATTATTACATATTCATGATCATTGCATTACTCCTAATTTTAAAAGAATTTAAAACAAAGATGTTCCCCTAGACCCTCAGCACTGTGCCCACCTGAAGAGCAAGTGGACCCCAGTGCTTTTGACAGCACTGTCAGTATCACTGTCCCCATTTTTCAGGGAAAACTGAGGCTCAGAGACTGCACAGCTAGTAAGGAGTAGAGACTGGATTGAAACCCAGGCCTTGTGTCCCTCACCAAACTGCATTATCTCCCCCACCAGAGGGACAAATTCTCTCCACCAGAGCTGGGTCCCTTCCTGTTCTCTGCCTTCGATACTTCCCTCCTTAGAATCTGTCTTTGGCAAAAGCCACCATTGTTCTGGAGACCACAAGTAGTCACACTGAAAAGGTAGAGGAAATTCTGTGTTGCAGGCTGGTACCTGGCTCTCATTTGGCCCCTTGGTGATTCCATACCAGCAGCTACTTGCTTCTGTCCCCTCCTAGCATCCTAGTCCCTGTTTATCCACAACTTCTCAGTAGTCCTGTGGGCTGCTAGGACTTCCCCCTTTGGTGCCATGAAGTCTTCATGTCCCTGAGTTGAGGGGTCCCTTGTGCCAGTGCTCTGCCTGAGCCCCTGGCACCTCCTAAGGCCTGGCCTTCAAACACACAGCTTCACACCCTCTGAGCTGGCCTTTGTCCACCAGCTCCTCTGAGTTCCAAGAACATTCCTGAGGATTCTGTCCAACCACAGTCCTTGCTCTAAACAGCCAAGGAAAAGGATCCTAGACCCCACTGTCCACACCAGTCTTTCTGTTGCTTCCTGGAGTTGTGACAGGCCAAAGATGCCAGCTACCACTCACTGGTTATTTCCAAGGTGCCAGGTTCTGTCCACTGTTTCTTTAAAATCACCAATGACCTTGACAGGCAGATAATGGAAAGCCTGCCATTGGTCCCCTTAAGTGAATGAATGAATAACAGTTATTGATTTTACAGATTCAGGAAATTGACGCTCAAGAGGGTGAAATGAACTTCCCACAGGTTTCACCCAGGCCTGTGCATCTCCTCCTTTGACTGACTGACTGACTACTCCACTGTCTCTGAGCAACCTCTGGGCACTGAATATATTTTGTATTTTTTATCTTCTATGATGCTTGGACAGCTTGGGGACTTTGCTAACCAGAAAGAGCCTGCCCTTCCTGGGGTTTGTTAATCCCGAGACCTCAGATGACTCCTCCGGGAGCATGACTTCCCTGTGTAAATCAACAGTCCAAAGCCTTTATTCCACTCTACTTTATCTAACTCTTAATGCCAGCTGCTGTCCTGGGCCTTCAACCCCTAGGGCCAGGTTCAGGACAACTAGGGAAGCCTGGAGCAGCAGAAATGATTCAAACTAGCCACTCCTAAGCTGCCTGCCCTGCTGTGCCTTTCATTCACAAGCTGCTCACTCTGCTCCCCTCTTCTGCATCCTGACCCACGCTGGTGCTGCCCCCATGTGACCTGGGTGGTATTTCAGGCCCCCTTCTCCTGGGAACTGTAAGTAACAAGCCCTTAAATGGCATCATTTTCTGATCTGTTGGCCTCACCGAACCCAAACTAACATCCAGGCACACTGCAGAGGTCCCTGGGCTGCTGCTGTCAGTGGCTGGCAGCAGCTGGAGACCCCAGCAAATAAGTCAGAAAGAGTAAGATAAGTTTCATGGATCAGTGGAGGAGGCATCAGAAACAGTGGTCTGGGATCCCAGACCACTGGGGCCCAGAGCATCCCCCCAGCAGGAGGAAATGGCCTTGGCTATTTTTATCAAATGGCCACAGAGAGGAGTAAGAACAACCACAAGTTAATTCCAGAGTGGAGTGGTGGCTGCGGTAATGAGAGGTGGAGAGCACAGAGATAGACTGACGAAAACACAAAGTCCGATGTGGAGGCCAGAAGCAGTCTGGTCACAGGGGGGACAGGGGCTCCAAGCCCACATACAAGAAAGAGATCTTGTGCTCCCAGGGACCCCACTTCATGTCCCCTGGCTGAGAAGGACCAGCAGCACCAAAGCCCACCATTACAGATGTTCACTGAGACCTCCCGGAAAGTAATGCAGGAGGCAGCGAGGCCCGCCCCTCTCTGGGCCCTGCTCCCCTCATGGAGTGGCCAGGGGGCTCCTCTCACAGCCCCTCTTCAGCCTTGCTCCCTGCACCCCCACTGGGTAAAGGAAGCCCCAAGAATGAGACTCTTACCAGTGAGCCCTCTGTGTCCTCAGGCCTAGGGAGAGGCTGTGGCTGGCCCGTCTGGTTTTAAGAGCCTGTGTCAGCCTGCCACACTCCTGCCTGGAGCAGCTCCAAGATTCCTGGTAACTCACACAGGAAGTCTACTCCCCCTACTCCCAAGACCCCTGGGGATTTCTTTTGCTGTATTCAGAAGCAGCTATTTCCTGCAGCAAGTCAGTCAGGGGTGGCTTTCAGGACAGACATCAAGGAGGGTCTGTCTTGGGCCATCCATAGTCCAGGGCTCTTCACCAGGATAGAGGCCTAGATCCCCTCCTGGGCACAGCCTCCCTTCCTGCTCCACAGCAGGTCTTTGAGGAGTCCCTCTGCCATGGCTCCTGTGGTTTACTAGCCCTTGGTGCCTGCTTCTATTTCATTCTGTGTCCCTCAGCCTCAACCCAGGGACAGCCACTGGAGCCAGGTAGCACTGGCTACCCCCATTTACTGCCTGTTCTTCCCAACTTGCCAGCCCCAACTTTCTCTGAAGCTTATAAAAGCCCCTCTGGAGATACTGGAAAATGTTACCTCCCACGCCCAGCTGGTACTTCTGGTCTACCTCACTACTGAATCGGGAAATTGCTAGGTCTGTGGGTAGAGAAATGCAAGCTGCCATCCCAGCTCAGCAACTTAGTAACTGTGCGACCTGGACAAGTCACTACACTTCTCTGTTTTTTCATGTGAAACATGAAAACAAGGCCCCCTCCTCTCCAGCCCCAGAAGCTCCTGGTAAGAAGTTACTATAGAAACTAAAGTGTGTACAATAACGTGGGTCAGAGAAGCATGTGGCTCTATGTATATCACAGGCCCCGAGTCCTGTGATCAAATCCTGGATCCCCACATCTTTCTGAGGAGATTTGGGGGTCACGTTCTCTCTCTTCCTGTCCTGGCCACATAAGAGAGGACCCCTCCTTGGGGGAGCACTTCTCTCCTTGGGCCTAACCACTGAGCTCCCTGAGGGGCCCTGTGGATTCAATTCAGTCCAAAAACTATTGATCGAGTGTCAACCACACACCAGGCACAGGGGCAAACATCATTAAGGCACCAAATAAAGAAACATGCTGTCCAGTGGGGAGAATCCTCTCTTTTCTGTATTTTTCTTTCTCCTTTTCAACCAATTTCCATATCTACTCACAAGTGCTCACTCACCTTGCTATCCTAAGCCAGACAATCTGAGCCAAAAACTGCAAACGTAAATTAAAAACTCCCTTGCCTTCCATGACCTCTTTCTCCAGCTTTCATTTTCCTCTGAAAGCCAACTTTGTGCTCAGAGAGGCCTCCACTTTGCCTTGCTCACTCCTAATCCTTCCTGGCTTGGCTGCTGCTTTCTGGGACCTCCAAGCTTGGCGTTGCTTGGAGGTTTGGGTTTGCTCCTTGATCTCTCAGGGTGTCCCACCTCTAAGAACACCACCTCCTCCCCCAAACTGTCTCCCTCTGTCTTCCCAGGGCCCCTGTGCCCACTGCCTACCAATGCCTGTCCCTCCCACTCTCCAGGAGCAGATGTCTTCGCTTCTCCCAGGGACCTGTTCTCAGGAGGCAGCTTCTCTCTTCACCCTCCCTGAGTGAGCTCTTCAAGTCCAGGGATATCACCCCTATTTCTATGCAGGTATCTGGGTGGTGCACTGGGGCTGAGCAGGGTTGGGCACCAGCTCTGACTCAGCAGTAACGCTCAAGGAAAAAGTGATGGGATGCATGGCATACACGGCATGGTGCCATGCCAGGACTGAAAACCTAAGCTTCGAGTCTCACAGGACTGGGTTCAAACCTGTTTAACCTCTTCAGGTCTCAGTTTTCCCACTATAAAGTAGAATAATCCCAGAGGCAGCTGCAGTTAGAAGTGGTGATAATCCAATGAAGTCGGGCAGAGGGTACCTCGAACCTCCATGCTGTTGTGTCGTTCCAGGAGACTGAGAAGCCCATGAGGGTAAATGTCAAGTCTACAGCCCCTCTATGCCCTGCCTGTGGCACACAGTAGATGCTCAGGAAGAGGTTGCCAAGTGAATGCATGATTCCTTTGGATCCAGCTCCATGCCTACCTCATTGTCTGAGGCCATACCTCAAATATCATCTCTCTCTAGATATAGAAATGTACACATGCCTGTCCAATATTCTAGCTAAGTGACCCTTGGGGACCTCAGAACCAAATACTTGACCTCTTTTACATTTGTGATCTCCTTAATCCTCACAAAGTCTCGAGGGGCATTAGGTAAGCAGATTGAGGGGTAGGTGCAGGTAGTGTGCCCGAGGTCACACAGCTATGTGAGAGTACTCAGAACTGTCAGCCTAATCCACCTGTCACCCAACCCATGTTCTTCCATCACACAGAAAGGCTGAGGCTTGTGATTTTCACAAGACACCTGACCAAAGGGTCATGTGATTTCCTTACAGCAAATGGGGAAGTGAAAGCTGAGTTCCAGCTGGCTAGTGAGATCAAGATTTGAACTCATGGCTTGATGCATGGGACTGGATTTGTTTATAAACTTTCATCCTAGGGTTATGAGCACCCATAGGAAAGGTTTGGCTTGGCCTACATAGTACTTTAAGAAAGTATTCTGTTCCTAATATATAAAATTTAAGAGATCTTAGATAGGAATCCAAACATCCATCTTCTCCTTAAAAAACCTGCAATCATGTGTTGGCCAGGGATCTACAAATTGGTGTGGTAGCTCAGATGTAGGAAGTGATATGTTAATCACTATCTATGAACTGATTCTTTGGGGGCAAAAAGTCCCCCCCTTTTTTTGCCAGATTCCAAAGCATAAATGTTCCTACCATGGAAAATTTCATGCTACCAGCATAAAAGTCACTGAATGCAGTTGGGAAGAGACACCTGGCGATACCATCACAGTGTAACCCCACCCAATCCAGTGGACATAGATTTTCTCAAGAACAGACATAATACTAAAATAATTAGGAAGAGTTTTGAGTACTTGTTATCTTTGTTTTTAATACTGTTCATCAGTTTATATGATTTAATTTTTAAATGATGCCTGCATATTAACAGCTACCTTCCAAAATTCCTGAAAATCTGAGCATCAGCCCGAGTAAGCCAATACAAGCTGTCTCCTGCACAACACTCACTGAGACAGGGTGCCACAGTGGTGAAGAGCCCATGCTCGGAACCACCACTGTGCAACAAACTGTGCAAATTTCTTAACTGTTCTGTGCCTCAGTTTACTGACATGAATAAGGGAGTCATTAATTTTACCTGTTTTGAGGTGTCACGTGGCAGGCATGTAGGCACATATTAAGGTGCAATAAATGTAGGCTATTTCAGTAGGAAGGAAAGACTTTCCCCCACTTGACTTCTCAGAAGAAGGAAGTGTGTGTTAAATGGTTAGCAGGATTCGGGCATGGCAGGAAGGTCTGGCTGAAGAGATGCAGCTGGGGAAGTCACAAGGAATCGTGCGGGTCAGGCTAAGGGATTCATTCTGAGCCTGTCCCAGAGTGAAGTTGACCAATGGTAAGATGATCTGAGTTCAGTAGAAGGCATTGTACACATCCTAACCTGAGCTCTCCTAGTGGATATGCACAAGGCCGGGGGATAACACAGCTCAGTAGTCACAGGTGACCCCCAAACCCAGTACCAGTCACATCCTGGAAGCAGGAGTCACCATTGGCAGTGATGACGGAAGCTTGGTGCCCAGAGTAGGACTTCCAAGCAGACTATACCCAGGGGTGCTGTCAGTGCTGAGCCTCCTCGGAGGTGGTTTCTGGAAGAGCAGGAGATGTCTAGGTCACAGGGGATAGCCTGGAGGGCATGGGGTGCCCTGGTTTTTGGAAGATGGAGCAGGGGCACTCTTCTGTCTCCAAATTTCTGAAGGGGTATTGGGGGTAAAAGGAGTCACAGTTGCTGGTGAGTTTTTGCCCCCAGCAGGCACTTTTTATTTAACATTTTTCAATAAAAGTAGTGTAGCATGGGAAATGGGGACAGAGTGGGTGGGACACACCCCCACCTGACTTCTCAGGAGAAAGGACTGTCTTTAAGGGTTGGGAACATCCATGACTTGCCAAAGCACATGAAATCAGTTGTACCCATCATGAGGCCTAAGTGCTATTCTGTAAAAATGTTTAAAAATTTTTGTTTCAACAATTTTTTTTGTACCAGGGATCCAACTCAGGACTTTGCACTTGCTAGGCAGGACTGGTGCCACTGAGCTAAATCCCCAGCCCAACAATTTTTTTGAAAGAAGAAAATTATGAACCCCTAGGTTGCTGTGTGACATGGAAGGAGCTGTCAAGGGTTTTGTACTCCCTGCCCTCTGGGCCCACCCCCACGTCAACATTTTTATCATGTTTCAGGGTGCTGCAGAGAGCTATATCTATTGCATGGGAGATGCATTGGCTGAGCCTGAGGTGCCAATAAGTTCTGACCTTCCATGGCAGGGTATACGACTCTGCTCTGGAACCTTCCAAGCCTTTCTACTGGAGGTTCTACACTTGTCAAGGCTCTAAGAATGCTTAGAAGTCATGGTATCCTTGATTCTTTAATCCCTGGTATCACCTTAAATGCTACCTCTCAGGAGCCTTGCCCTTTCCCTTATGCAAAGTCATCCCAATTCTTCCTTTCAAAACACTTTAACTCTCTTTACCTGTGTATTCTGTCCATGACTTACACCCCAGTCCCTTCCTTTAGAATGTGAGCATTTGCGGCAGGAGAATCATCCATCCTGTTCTTCATCAAGTTATCAGCAAATAACACAGACCTTAATGGCAACTTGGTGGTTTACACTTATTTTTGGAGTCAAAGAGTGGTTGAATGGATAAAGCCATTTAGTCCAGAGAAGGCAGCAGCCCTATCTGGGTGTGGAATGGCAGCTGGCTCCAAAGATAGACACAGCCAGCCCTTGCTGGGTGGCAGTTTATGGCATGCACATGGCTTATGTGGATGTCACAGCCATTGTTCAGTAACAGGCTCAAGATCTACTTTCACCAACAACTTGGCTAAAAATAAGAGTCAAAATATTGAACTAATAGTGCGCATATATTTTGTTTTATCTTTGAAAACTCAATCAATTCATCTCTTCACTCTCAAGAAACATACCACAGCTT